TTCTTTGCACATATCTTTCCTGCTGTTTACAATTAAGGCAAAGTCTAATTTACACTGCCACTGTGGTTAGATCTCTTAGTTAAAAGGGACTGACTTTTGATCTGGCATAAATGTGTCATGTTTTATTTGGGCCACTAAGATGATAATATAACTGAATATTGCAAAAGGCAGTGACTAGTCTTTGACCTGACTTACAAGATGCATGGACCTCCTGTGCCTCTGAAGTCTCAGATCAAATTACCAGCATTTCGCATATGTTTTGTGATCAATTTAGGAGTGTAATTTTTTGCATACTTATTTTTAGATAATATCAGTTGAGAAAAGAGGGGAAAAAAGTAAAATCTAGTACTGGATCTGAGCAAACAGAAAGGTCAGCGGTTGGGTTCTGCCTTATGTATTGTATATGCTGAAATGTCCTTTTAATAAATTAAACCACAAAATAAAAGAGTAGCTGAAAACTGTAACATTTGGCCTTGCAACACAGGTCAAAGGTTACTTTTTTTTCTCAAAAATGGTTTTGCAAATCTTTTTCAGAGCTGATAGATACACACCTTAGCTGGATACAAAACATTATATGAAAAAGAATGACTGTGATCTTTGATCCAAGCAATCAAAAAGAAAGGTAATTGGTATTTTTCTGCCTTTTCTCCAGCTGTGTGTTTCTCTTAACCTTTATTTATTTATTTTTTCAATTAAAAAGTCATGCCCCTTTTTATTTGGCTTAGAGGGTTTAAAATCTTATTTAATTTAATTTAATTTTTTTTTCATTCTTTTTCTTCCCCACTTGTGTACCACAGAGCTGTCCTGAAGTAGCTGGGGCCTGGTGGGCAGGGAAGGAGAGATGGGGTTGTGCATGCTGGGCTAAAGCATCCTGTCATTCCAAGGCAGCAGCTAGAACCACGTTAGGACCATGGTTTGCCTGGTCACGTTTTGAGACTAAAAATTCAGGGTTCAACTTTCCTCCTCAGTCCCTGATATGCCATCAGTTCCTCCCTGCGTGTCTTGTGTTGGCTTCGTGTGTAAAACGCCTCTTGGCCGCATCAGCAGAGCAAACATGGAATGTGCAGGATCCCTGCCCGGTGAAGGGAGGAGCCCACTGGAGCTGAGCTTTGCCTCCTCTGATGAGACCCTCAGTCTTGCAGGATCCCCGTCACTGCCACGGGTATAGTGCTGTGACAGCATTGACTTCATCGGTGTTATTCCAGGCATACAGATGGAATAACACTAGTAAAGTTGTTATTCTGATGCATGTGTGGATGTGTGCGCACACATGGATATGAGTGTGTGTGCGTGTATATAATCAATTACAAGGAGCCTGACTCATTGCCAGCTAAAACTGGAGACTGTTTTCTGTCTCTGGACTACTAGTTGAAGCTCGGTATTTAATACAACCCACTATCATCCCGCAAGTGAATACACTCCAGATTTCTATCTGAGAGGATGTGAATTAGAGTCTTAAATGTCTTTGAGGACTGAAGCCTGAGCGACTGACTCTAGCCCATCAAAGCTGAGTGATTAGAAGAACGCAGACATTCTCCCATGATTTCAGCCAGCCTCTTGCATTCAGTTAACTTGGGGATCTCCAAGCACCGGGGCTGTTGTAACACTTGTACAACAGCAGTATCTAACAGAGGATATGCTGAAGGGATTCAGGCCTAACTAGGCATTTCCTTGGTCTGGATGGCTGACGTCAGCTGTAATTTCAATATCTTTTTTTTACAATTCAATCTTTCATTATCTTTGCATATGTCCTCATGGCCCTGTTTAATCAGTTCTTTCTCATTAAATGGATCAATAGCAGTGTGCTCCAGAGTTGCCACATGCCAGGCACCTTAAATAACAATATTTTATTTATTAATCACATCATCTCCATTTCCTCTCGGCTAGAAATGAGCAAATGAGAACCGATACTTGAGACACATTTTAACCATGCTACCAAAAAAAGATAGATGGGAGTTCAGAATAGCAAGTTCAGCACATGATCTCAGCTTCCTCTGAAGTTTAGATATGTCTCAGTTTGCTGATTTTGTTCAACCTACTATTGAAACCCAAGTCACTGAGATTACACCTGGATCTGGATCCGTGTGCTCCCAAATCTGGAGCAGATCACCAAAGATGTGTGATTTGCTCAGTCTGGAGGTGACTCCCAAGCTGGAAGAGCAATACTTGCCTTGGGATCCATTCCTGTTAGGTTTATATATTCATTAGATTTAGGGGCTCTGGTTGTAGATTAGGACTTTTTGTGCTGGGGCAATCATTGACTTACACATCCTTCCCTTAAAGCTCCCAGACTAGCGTTGCCCAGCTTAAACTGCACCTAACTCCCCTCACCACATGGATTTAGGTGAAATTCAGGGTGACTACAGGCCGTTCAGGCCAACTGATAACAGGAAGCTCCCTTGTCATTCAGATGCTTACAAGAAAAATCCAATTCGCCACCTGTAAGAGCTTGCACAGAGTGTCCAGCTGCACCCGAGCATGGTCCTGCAGCCCATCTATGGGGTTAATGTTTCATGCTGTTCCCCTGCAACTTTTTAGCTCTTTACAGATTGTAGTCCCCCTATAACCTCAGACCACAAAACCCACTGCTGACCTCCCATGTAGCACACAGGAGGGAAAGTGAAGTTTGCAGGCTGAGTAAGCCCTTTACTGCACTGTCCAACCTGCCTGGAGCTGGCGAGCGGAGGTCCCCACGCTGGCCAAGCTCTGGGCTCGTGGTCTGCTGGTGCTGCATGATGGATTTCACTTTGCCTAAAGCTCAGGCTAGGAAACAGAACCAAAACCAGACCCCTCAAAAGACTGTGGGTTTAGTAAACTCCATTTAATTATCTGCTCATTTTTCACTTAATATTTAACCCTTCCTAGACAAAGATGACTGTTGGCTCCGATATTTCCACAAGTGGTGGCTGTATTAAACGAAAGGAAACTCATACATGGTATTTTTGGTACACTGGCTGCTCAAACAAATGTGTCGATAAATCAATCAGCCTGCAGTCTCAGCCCACTTGTTTTTAGGAAGGAAATGACCCTGTAAGAGTGGGTGCCCACTTCTTTTACCTCACTGCTATTTTTAGCTGAGGCTGTGAAAAATTTCCATTGAAGACCTGCTCCTCTCATTTCCTGGGTAGAGCAAACAGGAAGCTCTTCTAACTGAGCTGAAGGAGGTTTTTTCCCTGAAAGTGGACCAACCTCACCTCCCACTGGTTGCTTGCTTGCACTGCAGAGCAGCAACACACCATGTACCCCACATATGTGCTTTAATTGCAAGAATTCACCCAAAAGGCTGGTAGAAGCCAGCAGGTGATGGTGGCAGGTAGAAAGTTGGGCAGCAGGAGAGGACAGGAGTTCTGCTGTCAGCCATGCTGGTTTTGCCCATGTCCTCTCCAAGAGGCACCAATCTGATTGATATCGGGCATTTCCTGGCTGGAATTAGAAAGAGCTAAACTCTGGGCTGTTAACAGTGGGATTTTTGAGCACAGAGGGATGGAAACTGCCTTGTGTGGCACAGGCTATGGAGAGTTTACTGTACCTGGAAATGCGGAGGGCTGGCTCCCTGCTCCTCCCGTCAAGTACCTGTGCCGTGCTCTGTGTGAATACTTATAGTATTCACACATTCACATGATAGCTGACCACAGCAGACATCTGTACAGTAATACCATGGAGCTTTGTGTAAAACGTAAATTTTTTACTTTCTCAGAGATAAATTCCATTGCATGTAGAGTGGAGGGAGCTTTCAAACTACTGGTCATAACTACTAAAAATTAATACATGTTCCCCTTCCCAGAGACAGTAAGAGATCAGGCACCTTTTTTTTTTTAATTGTTGGGAAGTGGTGAAATACTATGTTAATTAAAATTTTTTCTTAAACATTTGTTAGAAATGGGCCTAAATATGGGGAGTCTTACAGCTGCATATCTGAGGATTAATCAGTCTTGGGTGAGGGTCTTCTCTGGTTTGAATTAGTCCTTGTCTTAGCCCTTAAGTATCAACAAGGAGAAATCATTTAGATCTTGGTTCTGAAACCTTAGAAAATGTGCTCTTTTGGTTTTAAGGCAAATTTGTCAAAGTAGATAAACAGTTTCCGAACCGTGGACCCCCTTGGTGAATACAGCACCAAAGAGCTGCATGTGAAATGGAGCCCCAAAACAGGTAGTTCTGGAGTTTTGCACCAAAACACTCATGTCTCTCCTAATGAAATTGCTGCCTAGAGAAAGAAATATTGTTCCAGGAGTTACCAAAGGGTGCTTTAGGCAAATAAGTGTCAAAGGTAGACAGGAGGGAATGGCTGTTGTATATAACATGTAATAATGTTGTTTTTTTTAAACAGAGAACAAAGTTCTTCAGTGTCTTCTCTTGAGCTTTATTAACAAGCCTGTCCCAGCCTCTTAGAGTGTCATAGTGGTGCATGGAAGTTTGCTTATGCTATAATCTACAAACAAACCATAACAAAAATGTAGAGCAAATAGGGTCTACAGTGAGATTAAAAAAAACCCCACAAAACCACAAAAAACCCAACACTTTTTCACCTGAATTGCAATCTCTGTGTTTTCAGAACTGTCCACTATATTTCCTCCAAAGCTGGCCTTTCTCTTTTTAAAATATTCTTATTTCAGCCTAGTGAAAATGTCAAAATGCTCAGATACTTACTGATTTTTTTTTTTTACCTCGGGTAAAGGAAACGTCTGTGAAAGAGGGCAAGTGTTGTGTACATAAGGGATGTAGCATGTACTGGACACATGGTACAGCTTCTCAGTTGTGTTTTTACGGTACTTGAAGCATGCTGACCACAGTGTAAACCCCCTCTCTCCGCTCCTTCCCCCGGCCTTCCAAAAATATGTAGTCTGGGTAATTAAGACTAAAAGATTTAAGTTCTAATAAAATTATGTCATGAATACAGAGGGGATGTTTTCAGCTTAACAGCAAACTGCCCAAGGATTTCTTTTACTTCTTGTGGTTTTGAAAGTGCCCTAACATTTCTTCCTCTTTCTTTTATTTCACAGTTAACGAAATTATCAGGAAGGAATTTTCTGGACTGCCTGCCAGAAATCAGACATAGAAGAAGAGATTTGTGAGACAACTTTTACCGAATCCTTCCATAACTGACCTCTTAGATCCTTCCAATGCCCCTGCAACCTCCTGCTTCCTTAACTGTTCATCTCAAGGCACCAATTCAATGCAAGGAACAATGTATTGGCATCAAGCTGACAGCCTTGACTAAGCAACTCGCCACCTCTCTCTGTAAACATCGAGAAGGACACCCTTCCTTTTGTCCAAAGATCATATTGTTCTTGTATAACAGAGCATCTGTCTGAGGAAACTCTTCAAGCCTGCTGCAAAATATCTATCTGTGTATCGATCTATCTTAGTAATAAGGGAGAAGTGAGATGTCACTCCTGAACACCGCACAAAGCAAGGGAGGTTATATATTAGTGCTTATTTGGGTGGGGTGGGAAACAGGGGAAGAAAGAGTAATATATTCCATAAAAGAATAACGACATTTTGCGGTTCACTAACAATGACTTGCCCTCCAGGTCTCAAAGCCCTTTTGAGAAATTTCATTGTTGTAGGAAAGTGAGGCAACCCAAGCTTGCTCGGCCTTTATCCGACCTGGGATCAAAAGCCATTTTTTTCTGACTCTGAGCACTGTGATCAGTATTTCAAACAGTAGACATCAGCTGAATCCAGGAGTTTTCTTCATTTTTCTTCTCAGACTGGATAAGAATGTGAAGGAGAAGGATGCTTACAGAGAATCAGTGAAAAGAGCAATTCAGCAGTTTTAACACCTGTCCCAAGGTAAAATAAACCCAGATAAAACAGAGATTAATATATAGGAGTCACAGTAAATCCAAAGATTTTATGATTGATCTTTTTTAATATTTAGGCAGTGTATGAACACATCTTAGATATTTTCTCTCTAATAAATTGTTGCTGTTTCTTTTCATATAGAACCTGCTATTGGCTCTTAACTTGTCTCATTTAGCAGCTGTAACATTTAACCATGCAAGCTGCAGAGGAAAATAATTGCATCTTACAGAAGCCGTATGTTCCAGAAAAAGTATACACTTACTTATATTCACCTTGTCTCTTTAGCTTTGCAAAACTACCAGCAATTTCTGGAAAGGTTAAAATTCCACATGAGTTAGTATGTTTGTTATTATGTTTGCTTCATGTGTTATAATATACTGTACTGACACAGGCTTATCACAATAAGAGATAACCGCTGCCATCTGCAGTTGTACAGCTAGCAAGTTTATAACGTTTTGGTGTGTCATTGCTACCACAGTGTGATAAAAAGGCATCATGAGTGGATAATCAATGTACAGTAAAAGATAGCCATAATATTGTAGGAAATACGTAGTAATCTTTTCTGGTTTTGTAAATGAGGAACGCTGATATTTTTAAGAGTGCAGGGTCTGAGCTCTCTTCTAGAAAACGCAGTGAATCTATCCTGTTCTCAGTTGTTTCACAGTAAACTTTGCTGAACATTTTTTTTATGAATACAGCAGACCAGCAGAGCAGCTGCATAACTGGTTCCCCAATAGTGCAAGAAAGACCTTAAACAAACCCTGCAGTGTATGTGCTCGTTCCAGCAGCAGTCTTTTCAGGAGTATTGAGAAGAATATATTTTCTGCCGATAAAAGCTGCCGCTTAAACTCTGCCAGGTCTTCAGTTTTAGAGTTAGAGATAGAAGCATTAGACTTCCCAGAACACCTGACCTAGGTCTCACCTATAATCTTGGATCTTAAACTGAAATCTGAATTTCACAGGAGCAGCTGAGCTCTGGATTCAACCAAGCCTAGGTCCAGAGCCAGAGCAGAGCCCTTCCCGACTGCAAATCCCAAACCGGCATTAATAACACAGCTTGCTTCTTTTTCCCCTTGAAGTACTGCTAACACACACCGGCAGCGCTAGTGTAAGACGGTGAGTGGTAGCAGGCATTAGCCCACTTTGTGAGATTCAAATCTTTTGTCGCAAAAGGAGTCCCCTGTATCCCATTTCAGCAACACCAAAAAGTCGCTGGCTGAGGATGCCTCATTCTGGCGCTCATATTGTGAGCTCCGCATGTTGCATCAGCATGAATGTCGAGATAGCCAAGCCTCAGCCTGTCACCTGCAGAGGTGAAAGTGGCCTTTTTTATTACTGACTTTTACAGAAACAAACCTGAGGCTTGGACTAGCTGAAATGAGTTCTGTGCAGGGGAATTATTGATCGTTAAACAGCACTTGTATAGTACTTCAACTGGCTCACATGCCTCAAATAAGCTATTTTGGATTGTTTTAAAACTGCCAGCTTGCCAGAATCTGACATATATTATGGATTTTTAATGCAGTCTGACATTTTGGACAATTTTGAAAAATTCCTCAGGCCAAAAGTTGCCTGTCAGAAGTTCTTTGCTGCAGCTGAGTAAAAGAACAGACCAAACGTGTCTCCTGGTTTCCCAGAATTCACACTTGGAAGTACCAAAAATGACCATCTATTTTCCCTGATCCAACCTGTAAAGTATAGGAGAAATATAAAAACAAACCAAAAACCCATTCACAGAAAACCCAAAATCCCCAAATAACTGACAGAAACTTTTCTCTTGCTGGATTTTAAATAGAATATCAAAGAAGAACATGAACTTATTTTCAAATCTGTAGACGCACTGACGTAGTCTAAAAATATTGCTGCTTATTTGGTGATTGTCCATAGCAACTCCTTGTCAATAGTCCTCTGTATACAGATGAATGGCTGATCTCGAAGTCAGATAACTGCGCACCAAATCCACTAGCAAGCTTCTCCTGCAATGAGCCATTGCAGTATGCAAGCTCATGATGCAGACTGATTTTTATTTGTAGTTTTATTCTTTGTCACTGTTCCCCACTGATCATTTAAGCATCTTTCTCCCCTTTTTACTATAAAGCATGAATGTATAAAGCAGACAAGAAAAATGTGGACTCATAGCAAAGGCTTTTCAACCTTCAAAGGGACCCAGGCAGGCAAACCCCTGAGCCCCTGCAATGCTCCATTGAAGCTACTTCGCAGGACGCACCCATGAAGCATGCGCTCTTTAGCTGAAGGATAAGATTTCCACTGCTCTTATGTGGTCTGTCGGACACTTTGCTATAGAGAGGGGGAGAGGGGTTTTGGGGTTTTTTTTAATGTGCTACAAGTGCTTTACTCGTGCTTGCATTAGCTGTATTTCTTCCTCATTTTTAATGCATAGATACTAATCTGTATGTGTGTTTGTATAGGTGCATATACATGTATATTTATATAATATAACCATATAATATATATGGATATATTATATACATATGATTATATATGAACACACACCCCCTCCGTTACAAACTTGGGTCACGATCCTATAATTGGCTCCAGTCAGCCAGACCTATGCAGGCACATGAAGCCAGCTACTGGATCGAGGGTTCATAAGATGTATATAATATAGACTACATTTTAGTGGTTTTATTTACAGCTACATGAGGTCAGGCTGTGCTACTCTATCCGCTTTTACATGCAACTGTTAGTTAAATAATACAGCTTTAACCAACGTTATATTTATTTCTGGAGAAAAAGGAGCATCCTCAGACATAGCGTTACGCATTGTTGTCTCTTTTTAAAAAGAAAACCAATATATTAAAGTTATATAGCTAGGCTGAAGAACTTCAAAATATACCGTACTAAATTATTTCCTGTTCTTGCTGAGCAGTGTTTTTCCAGTATTAGTATTTTGTTACTTAATACAACTTGCTCTCTTTCTGTAGAGGCATTAGCTTAACCTTGGAAGAGTTAATACCATTTTGTGAGTAATTTGTTCTCACTTTATCTGGAAGATAGCCATATTTGCACATGAGGAAATTCTGTCTTTCCTCAGTTATCTGAATGTTTCACCACAGTGCCTTCCTGCCATTGTACCAAAGGCTTCCAAATATATTGTCTACAGGGTGAACAACTCTAATGCATTTTCCATCAAAGTTATACCATGCGAAGTACATGGGGCTCATTGGAACTCAAAGTTCATCTCTTTCATTTTTGTGTGTGCGTGCATTTTTTTTTTTTAACTTCCATTTTTCCGTCCAAGCTTTGGCTGCAAATACAGGATGAGCTTCTATAAACTTCTGCATCAACTATATGAATACATAGAATAAAATCATCATTCATGCTATGTAAACAGTCTGAGAGTGGAATGGGAGTGGACAGATACCAGGAAGATTTTTTTTGTCAGTTATGAGTGTTGGAAGTGCAGTTTGCCAGGAGAGTAATTGCTCGTGAAGATACTTGCGATGAAGTATGAAGTCCCGGTTTTGTTTTTCTCCATGAGAATGAGCAAAACGTAACACCTGAACAACAGCGATGGAATGAAAGTGTCTAATGTATGTGTTTTTATTGGTAGAAAGAATGTAGAAGAGCCATGGTTTTTGCACTTGCTTTATTTGTATCCATGTAAATATGTATCACTTCCATTCTTCTTGTAGGAATACAGCATTTTCTGAATGTAGAATATTTCCAAAACCAGCACTATGTTATTCTCTATTGTATAAAATGCTGCTGCTTAATAACATATCTAAAACAGTTCTCAAATTAGCTAGCATGTTTTTTAAAGTATATTTTGTAATCCATATCTTTACAAAAAAGTGTCTATGCTTTTTGTCTGACCAAATATGCAACACCTTTTGGATTAAGGATAGTATTTATAAAGGATCAATTTTCATTTTCGGAGTGTAGGAATTTTCTATGCAATTGTTGTTGAATTGTTATTGTCCTAAAAAAAGATGTATTTGATACGTCTTCAAAGACAGCTTTAAACACTTCAGAAATGTGTTTCTAAATATTTCAGTCTGACTTTTTCCCCTGCATTTCTTTCCAAATTGCTACTTTATAGGGAACAATTATCTGCCAGATGGGATTCAAGAAAATGACTGTCTTAATTTCAAATCTTAAGTTGATTCAGATCTTCATAAATTTGGACCACTTACAATCATCTCATGTTCCAGTTTAGCTGCAATTCTGAGTGTTTGTTATTTATATTACATATTCCTGTGCAATAGGAAGAGACGCCAATGTTGGGTTTAGAATGGGTGAATTGCAGATTCTCCAGAGATCAACTGTTTTCCTCATAGTTTACATTGCAGCAATTTCTGACCTGTAAATGTAAGGCAACTATCTGCCATCACACATGGAAAGTTATAATTCTTTATTCATCTCAGTTCAGAATGAATAATCCACCTTTTTGAATGTTTGACATA